ACACACACACACACACACACACACACACACACACACACACACACACAGATATGAAATGCTTCGTCCTTGGTTCACCAGCTTTGCTGTCAGCCAACAGACAGCATCAGGCCCTGTCCCAGGTGCTGAAGATGCAGAAAATAAAAGCGAAATTACGCCATTTGAGCCCTGTGGAGCTAGCAGTCTGCTGGGATGAAAGGCACTAATGAGCAGCGATAAAAATGTAAAATTGCAGCTAGGCTATGGCTGCCAGATTTCTCAAATAGAAACATGGAACGTCCAGTTAAATTTGAATTTCAGATAAAGCCCACAGTGGTTGGATGTATATGCCCAAATATCACATGGGGCATACTTGTTTGTCTGAAGGTTTCAATATAACCAGCGTGGTGGTTAATGAGTCTCTGGGCGTGTCTTTGGGGGAGGGATTATCTAGTTAAATAGCTAGCTAAATTATCTAGTTAAACTCTACCCCTCCACACCTTGAGACAGGGTATCTCTGTGTAGCCCTGGCTGTCCTGGAACTCACTTTGTAGACCAGGCTAGCCTCGAGCTCAGAGATCCCTCTGCCTCCTGAGTGCTGGGATGAAAGGTGTGTGCTACCACCTAACTGTGTGTGAGTGTGTGTGTCCTGGGCTGGGTGAAAAGGAGAAAACTGAGGACCATTGTTCCATGTTTTCTGCTTGACAAGCTCCTGGCACCATGGCTTCTCCACCATGATGAACGATGACCTCAACCCTGTAGACAAATCATCTCCACCCTCTTTAAGTGGCCTCTGTCAGGTGTTTTAATCACAGCAACAAGACAAGACAGTGACACAAGCGATGTCCTGCTGTAGGATAACTTCCCCTGGTGGCAGGGGCCAGACCCACGGCCTCACACAAGCTAAGACCACTCTGCCTCTGAACGGCACTCTCAGCCTGGCAGTTTCCATTTTGTTAAACCCTCAGTATCACCTAGACTGAGATCCTGGCACTTGGGCGTGCTTGTATGTCTATATGGTGAAGGTGGGAGATCTGAACTTCAAGGTCATTTCCAGCTACACGGTGAGTTCCAGGCCAGCCTAAGCTAATGAGACCCTGTCTCAAAAAAAAAAAAAACGTTTCCAAAGCAACGACTATCTAAACAATCCCCTCCTCTACTGATGAATGGAAGGGAGATGGGAGAAGATGGTGGACAGAGAGGAAGAGGCGAGCAGAAGCAATCCCAGAGGTAATGAGAAGGCAGACAGGTGAGTTGGAGGCCGGAGGGGTGGTACCTTGAGGGTGTGGCAAGCTTTGATGGTGGCTGCCAGAGAGTGGCAGTCTCGAAAGGTGAAGAGGAAGAGGTTCCACTGGAAATTCATGCCACAGTCTTTGACGCCGTAGACCAGGTCAAGCTCCTCCAAGTGCTTGAGACCAGCCACCAGAGCCTCCAGCTGGTAGTGGTCCTTCTCAGGCTCGCTCCCCTCACCCTCACTGCCGGAGTCGGACTGTTCCTCGTTCTGGGGTGGGGTCGGCAGCCGCACAGGTGGGAGGAACTGGTCCACCTGGATGCGCCGCACATAGTTCTGGCAAAGGGGCAGCAGGTCCAGGATCACATTGGGGTCCGTGGTACCTGGGATAAAGAGCTTCAGCAGGTTCTCCAGGTGCCTCTCAAAGAACATTCGCTTCCAGCTGCCGCCGTGCCGGGCCACGTGGCACACGGGCCAGCGCTTGATGCAGCATCGGTGCCAATAGTTCTCGTCCTCGATCAAGTTGGCAGTCACCGTCAGAGGCAGGTCAGGGGGCAGCCGGCTCAAGACCTTCTGTTGGTGCTCTGGGAGCAGCTCCTTCAGGATAGGGTTGTCTGTGGGGATGGAGGAAGACAGACAGGGTTCAGCCACGGGGCTGGAAACATCCCAAACCCGGGTGTCCTGAGCTGTCCTGCCTAGAGACACTCGGGAAAAGAAAAGCCCTTTGTGGCCTTGGGAGCTTTGCTTTAGGAGGAAACAGTCTCTTGAAGAGATGCTCTTTGGGGGTCTCTTGCCTGCAACTGGCCATCGCACCAGGCAGCATCTGGTCTCAAGCCTGAGGAACGAAAGACCCCTCTGGGGAAGAAAAAGTCCCCCGTGTCTCATGTAGTCTGTTGGGAAAGGCAGCTGACTTCTGAGACACCCAGTTAGACTTCATTCATTCATTTCAGAATGACTATATGTGCCAGATGCTGCTGCTGAGGAAAAAAAAAAAATGAAGGAAACATGGGGCCAGAAAGATGAATTGGGGTATAAAAATAAATAAATAAATAAATAAATAAATAAATAAATAAATAAATAAATAAATAAATAAATAGTTTGCAGAGCAGACTGGTGGCCTGAATTCCATCCCAGAGCTTCTGCAGAGGTGGGAGGAGAGCCGACTTTCATGAGGCTGTCTTCTGTGTTTTGTGTTGGGTGCTTCCTCCTCCCCCTCCCCCATTAATACACTTTAAAACTGAAGGAGACAGACATGGTCCTGGCTTCTTGGAACTCATACTTAGCATGCTGGGGACATGCTACATTAGGTGGCCCGGTCCTCAGGAAGCCTTTGTCCCATTGTTTAGAAAAGGCCAGCTACTTCTCTTTGGAAAGGGCTAGAGTAGGAATCCAGGAAGCCATTTGGATCCTGGAAGATTCTACCAGATGGGAGGTGAGAACTGGAGAGCTTCCTGGAGGAGGAAAAGGAGGATGTGGCAAGGCCCAGCTTACTGGAGAGAGCAGACATGATCAGAGAAGAGCAAAAGCATGGAGGACTCAGTGTGTGTGTGTGTGTCTGTGAGTCTGTGAGTGTGTATGTGTGTGTGTGTGTGTGTGTGTGTGTGTGTGCACATGTGTGTCTGGGTGGGGACAGCAGGAGACACTGTTAGGTGTTGAGTGGGAGTGGATCTGAGTGCGCTTCCAGGCCTGGGTGGTGGTCCCCTCCACCCCCACCCCCCCGCCTCCAGCCCAGACCAGGCAGACTCACATTGGAAGTTCTTGACAATGTGTTGAATGCAGAGCTCTGTAAGGAGAGGTACAATGGCAAGTGTCCACTCCGAGTCCTCAGAGATGATCCGGCGCATGCGACGGACGTTTGGGATCTTGGCCTTCATGTGGGTAGGGGTGGGGGAGGTCTTCATGAGACCAGAGAACTGGTTGTACAAGGATTGGTGAGACCCAGGAGTAGACATTGTTGCTGTGGGTTCCTGCGTAGTTGTCAGCAGTAAGGAAGGCCCTTGGCAACCTTGTAACAGGAAACTTCTTAAACTGGCAGATCCTCAATGCAGGCAGGGTGTGGGATGCCGGGGTCATGGCTTGAGCAAAAGAAAGGGGGACGGTGTGACTCAGGGGGATTCCAGTGGCACTGAGAGGGTCTTAAGGGTCGGTGTCCGAAGGGGAGTAGACCCAGATGAGGATCTCATAGACTGGCTGTGCGGCTTTGGGCAAGGGATCAAATGTCTGTGAATTTCAGATGATGTCCTCTGTGAAGTGAGGGCAATAGCTACCAATAGGATTATTAGAGGAGTTGATAAAATAATGCATTCAAGCCAGGCGAGGTGGTGCATACCTGAAATCCCAGCACTCGGGGAGGCGGAGGCAGCAGTTGGATCTCTGTGAGTTCGAGGCCAGCCTGGACTTCAAAGTGAGTCCAGGACAGCCAAGGTTACACAGAAAAACCATCTTGAAGAAAAAAATAGTGTGTGTGTGTGTGTGTGTGTGTGTGTGTGTGTCTGTGTAACAGCAGAACAGCAAGTGCTCTTAAGCAGCCCCATAAGAATGGATTTAAATTTGATTTCTCCAGTCATAGTCTGGACTGCCCTGTACTGCCCCCTCTAAGGATGAGTGGAGGGGTTACAGAATGTCAAAGGAGAAAGCCGCAGTGAACAACTACTTAATTCAAAAAGCTGTCTGCTCCCAGGTGATCCTGATGACATGACCGAGTGCTGGCCAACAGGATACGATGCAGGCTAATACACTATTTTAACTTGTCTTTCTACTTCTTAATTTTGAGACAAGGTCTCATGTATCCCAGGCTGGCCACAAAGGTGCTATGTAGTAGGGGATGACCTTGAACTCATGAGTCTTCTGTCTATCTCCTGAATGCTGGGATTACAGTTAGGTGTCTCCTCGTCCAGTGGATGTGGTGCTGTGGATGGAACCCAGGGCTTTATGCTTGGCAGGCAAGAACTCTACAAACTGAAACATATTCCCAGCCCCTGTCTTTAACCCTTCTACTCTCCACACTTAAAGCATAAACAGAGGGGCTGGAGAAATGGCCCGGCAGTTCAGAGCACTGGTTGCTCATCCAGTGGACCTGGGTTTCACTTCCCAGAACCTACATGGTGGCTCACAGCCTTCTGGAACTCCAGGACTAAGGGATCTAACCCTCTTTTCTGGCTTCTAATGGTTATTCATGGATGTGGTACACAGACAACATGCAGGCAGGGTTTCTCTGTGTAGCCCTAGCTGTCCTGGAACTCGCTCTGTAGATCCGGCTGGCCTCAAACCCAGAGATCCTCCTGTCTCTGCCTCCTGAAAACTAGGATTAAAGATGTGAGCCACCAGTGCCCAGCCAAAAATTGTTAAATATGGAAGAAAAAGGGGCGGGGGCTTAAATAGAGCTGGGGGTATAGCTCAATGGCAGAGCTCTTGCCTAGCACTCCTAGCTAAAAACCAAACAAAACCCCAAACAAAAAGCCTACAGGAAAAGCAACACAAACACAACAACAAAACCCCAAAACAGGTTTGAGGCCAGCCTGGTCTACAGAGTGAGTTCCAGGACAGCCAGGGCTACACAGAGAAACCCTTTCTTAGAAAAACCAAAAGAAAAAAAAAAAAGAAACACAAACAAACAAAACCCCCAACAACAACAAAAACCCCAAACAGGTGAAGTGCCCAAAATATTGTCATTTAAATGTGTAATCCGTATACAGTTTAAAAAAATTAAAACAACAACAAAACAAACAAACCCCAAATCGGTGAAATTTACAGGGTACTCAAGATGTTATCATTTAAATGTGTACTCTGTATACAGTTTATTTTTATATTTTGACTTTTTATTTGTATGTACATATGTGTCTGCCTACGAGGGTGTGAGTGTACATGGATGTCCACGGAGCCAGATTGCCTGGAGCTGGAGTGGAGCTGAGAGGGTGAGCCACCAGATTTGGATGCAGTGAACAGGACATGAGTCCTCTGGACTCATGCGCACTCTTAACTGCTGAGCCATCTCTTCCAACCTTGTGCAAGGGTTTTGAATGCGAAGAAGGGGTGTGTTTGTGTTCACATCAAATCTGTGCCAGTGGCCTCCGTCTAGGAGGGTGCCGCCGGGAGGGGCAGAAGGCCACCAGACACAAGCCTGACCACAGGGCCAGTGCCTCTCCTCACTCCCACCTGGCTCCTTCTTCATAGTCTCCCCTCATCCCAGACGCTGGTGTGAAGGCGTGGGAGGCGAGAAGGCAGCTAAATATGGGGCTGAAGTCAGAAGATTGAGGATGCTGTCTGCGTCTGGGGGACCTTCTTCGAGTGGCCACACCTTTACTGTCCCTTCTGCAGGCACCCTGCCGGGGATCTGAAGACCGGGGGGGGGGGGGGGGTTCCTGGGCCCTCTGCCCCTCCCTGGGCAGCTTCCCTTTGTGCCACACTGTCATGTGGCCAGTGAGAAGGAGCACCCTGCTCCAGCGAAGGCATCCTTGGCAGAGGGAGGAACCAGATGGTACTCCCTAGCCTGCCAGGCGTCTCGAGGAGGAAAAGCCTGGGGAGAGGGGCGCTGTAGGCAAGATGTTTATGTAGTGTGTCATCCTGTATGCAAATCAAATGCAAATTCACAGACTGTGTCCATCTTTGGCTAATGCCTAGAATTCTAGCACTTGGAAGGCAGAGGCAGGTGGCTTTCTATGAGTTTGAGGCCATCTTGGTCTACATCCTGGTGAGTTCAGGTGGATACTGTTTAGATAGATAGAAGCACCAGTTGCTTTTTCATTTCTGGTTTGGTGGGTGACCTTAGTCAAGTTATATAACCTATCTGGGCTTCAATTTCTTCCCTTCTCCTCTCTGTAAAGTGGGATAATAATGTCCTCCTATGTAGGCTGCTATGGAGATTCCAGTATAGAGTCCTGAGAGGCGTCCAAGTGAAAGCCAGGTCTCTGGGACTTGTCCCTGACTCTATAGGAGAGGTAAAGGGCAAGGGGTCAGTGATGACTTGGGGGTCATCTGCACTGCAGTTGGAGGCTGGGAGGGGTGTAGAGGCAACAGGCTAATCCCACTCCTACGATCTTGCATCTGGACTCCTGACTTCTTCCAAGGCTTAGGCCCAGAATGTCAGAGGATTCCCTGGGGTAGCTGTGGACCACACCAGGGAGCCAGGAGCAAGCTTGGCAGGAGAGCCCAAGTTCCTGGTGAGCGTGACTTTAGAGCAGGGGCTCAGGCGTCATTCCCATGACACTTGCTCCTGTAGCCTGGGCCATGGCTCTGCTTCCCTCCTCTTAGGAGTATTCAACCCAGCCGGGGCCATTTGTGAGCTCCTCAGTGCTTCCCACCATCTTTCTTTTGGTACCAGGCAGTTCAAGTTGCTTTGTAGTCTGCCTCTGGCAGAGTTCATAGACCTACCCATGGGCCCTAACCAATCTCACAAAAGGAAGGGGTAGAGCCCCCCATGGCTGCCACAGGTATGGTTGATATAACAAGAGTCCATGCCAGCCTTCCATGTAAGACAGAATCTTTGGCTCTTCTCTCTCTCTTGCCGTTTTTGTTTTGTTTTGTTTAAATTAACTTTTTTGTTTAAATTCTGTGTTTGCCTGAATGTATGTCTGCACACATGCGTGCCTGGTGCCTGAGAAGGCCAGAAGAGGGCATTGGATTCCTTAAAATTGGAGTTACAGGCAGTTGTGAGCCACCACCTGGATCTTGGGAACCAAATCCAGGTCCTCTGGAAGAGCAGCCAGTGCTCTGAGCCATCCCTCCAGCTCCTCTGGCCATTGTTTCTTCAGCATGTCTGCATGCCAGGTTTCTGGCACTCTGTCCACCCTCAGGTTCTGCCCATCCTGCATCTGGTAAAAGCTCTCCACCTTTGAGTTTCCCACTCAGATCCCGAGGCTTCCATCCAAGTCCCTCACACTCAGCCTACACAGAAGGTGGAGCTCAGAGAAGGGACTCTGCTCCTCCTGTAGGCCCTGAGCAGGCTGCTAACCTGTCCCGTCTCTGCGCTCTCCTTTCTCACTCAGGTCTCAGCCTAGGGTCTCTGAGTCCATCACACACAGCTTCAGCTGCTCAGCACCTGGCCTGGCATCCAGTCTGGTCCTCTCACAGTCAGCCCTGCACAGCCACTGGGACCCTAACCCTCCGTACAAGCCCAAAAGCCAGTTCCCTCAGCACCTCAGAGGACAAAGGCCTTCTACCTCCACTGGTGGCTCTCTGAAATAAAGTCTGCTCTCGAGGACACTGCAGGCTAGTTCGGGCCTTTGCGCAAGCCACTCCTTAAACTTGGAGTACCTTTCTTACCGGCTGCCCCTGAGAAGAGAGAGATGTCCATCTACTGACTAGTTCAGTCACTACTTTCTCACTCCCCACCCCCACTCCCCCAAAAACGCCCTCTGTCGGAGCCCTGGCTTTCCAGGACTTGTGCCACCTCCTCCTGTGACCAAATCCACAGCAGACAGAGCTCACTGGATCTGCGTGCCCAAACCCAGTGTCAGGTCGGCCTTAGGCAGGTAGCTACTTTGGGTCTGTCCTATTTGTTTCTAATAATAGATCCTAAAGCGTATCCTATTGGCTACAGCAATTGTTGGGCGTGGCCTCATACTGTCAGCCAATCAGAGACTTTCCTAGGACCCGTCCAAGTAGAGGCTGACGGAAGGACGGCTGTATGTCCTTGAAGGAGCAGGAGCCCCACCGCTGAGAGTCGTTTTCCCTAACTTATACAGAGCCTATCTGCAGCTGCAGAGGATGAAGCATAGTGCGGACCCGCAGCCAAGAAAAGTCAGGATGAGAGAGAGAGGCCCTCAGGTCTCAGCATGCAGCCTCCTTGCAGGTTGCTATCCTCTCCTCTGTGACCACAGCGTGCCCATTGCTATCCTCTCCTCTGTGACCACAGCGTGCCCAGCATTGCCAGGCTCACTGGTGAGTGAAATGGAGAATCCCTGCAACGGAAACTCAAGAAGTCTGAAGTCAACCTGGCCTTACATAAAACCCCGTTGAAAGAAAAAAACAAGAAGGAAGGAGACTACCCCACTTTGAGGAGAAAGATGGGAGGAACCAGAGGCGGGGAATGGAGAGAGAGAGAGAGAGAGAGAGAGAGAGAGAG